AAATTTCATTCATTGAAGAGAGTATTTTCTTTTATTTTAATGTGGTTGAGATTTTTTTCTTATTAAAAAATGTTGGTTGGACTTAAACTTTTCATGAGGACTATAATTTGTTTATTTTCATTACTACCCAGAAACCTTGTTTCTAAAATATAAATAGTAACACATTCATATAAGGTAGGTTTCAAAGATATAAAGCATGATTTTTTTTTTGCTGGGGGGTGGGTTATTCTTTTAAAATTTTAATAATATTAGAAACTTGATTAATTCCTGTAGTAATTTTTTCCCAAAGATTTGTATAATAAATAAATAGAATAAAAGGTCATAAAAGATGAGATTTCCTTATTTGTAATATAAAAAAAAACAAAGACCATATATTTTATTTGTGTATACTATTTTTAAATGATTTTTTTTTACTTTTTATAAAAGGAAATATAAATCCAGAAATTTACAAAAAATTCTTTTTATTATTTCTTTCCTAGAATTTTGTTAAGACTATGAATATAAAAAAATATTCCAAAAGTCTCTATTCCTAAAAATATATATATATATATATATATATATATATATATTTTCCAAAACTTCTCTCCCCCACTCACACACACATATATATATATATATATATATATGAGAGAGAGAGACTCTGGATGGTATCAGTCTGTTTCATGCATAAACACAATCCTCAAGCCTGAAACAGACTGTTGCTTTTCAATGTTGATACCTATGTTTACACTGCCTATATTTGCATTCTGTCACTGATATGAAGACCTTTTAGCCTACAAATATAGTTTATCATAAAACTATATTTTATCATACACACACACACTGTTTAAAATCTGCTATATTTGTTGGGGAGGATTGCTCAATATTGGTAAGAGAGCGTGTAAATTCATGAAATAAATTATGACTGAATGGATTTTTAAGGATTGTCTGTACTCATATATATATAAAGGGTGTCCATAAATTATTTGTACACTATTTTAAATTCCCCATGAAATTTACAAGTTTTATTGGAAAATATATTGAAAGTTGTTTTTCTGTCGCTGGAACACAAACAAGAAGGGATGGAATGAACAGGCAACGCTGGAGACAATCAAAACAAGGCAAGAGCAGAGGCAACAAAGAATTCCATACAGGAATGGCACAAATGAAGGTCAAATGTAACCAGGACACAGAAAGTGACGGTGAACAAAAAAGAAATCAGAATCATGACATTCTATACAATAGTAATACCACTGGTGACTCACCTCCTAAACAAAAAATCTGTTTATTTATATTCAGCCCAGCAACATCAGTAATCTTGCTATGCATGACACAAATCATTTACATAAACAAATTCTAGGCACTGCTCAACCTACCACCACAACCATGCATTTTGCAAGCGGATGTTCTCAGGTTTATGCCAGTCATCCTCTACTGCATATGCAACACACCAAGCAATGAATTTTTGATTGATGGGAGCAGGCAGCCAACAGTTTGTCCTGCTTTTCACTTCTGCTACACTCTGCACTGATCATGATCATGATCATGATAACCTGGGGCCAATCTCTTGCACCTTGTGCTGCTTCATGGTAATACAACTGCAACTTCCTCCCTGGATGACTTGTTTGCAGAAGTATCTGATGCATCTATATCAGGCCTGGGGCTGCTTACATGATGGGTGGAAGATTCGCTGTCATTCCCACTCCCTGAAGCACTTGAATGGGATGTAGGTTCCTTATGTGGTGAGACATCCTGTCAACAAGGACATTCTGCAGACTAATCATGCCTGTAATGCGTCCACATGCAGAAGGGGATGTGCACTGTTCATCTGGTGTCTTTATTCAGACACGGTCTCCTACTTTGTGACCAATGCGCTTATGTTCAGGCACATCTGGAGGCAGTGTATCAATCCTTTTCAGTCGGACATGGTAACGATGAATTATGTTGGGGAGCATAGTCAGCAGTGATACATCATCCTTTGGGGTAACGTTGTACCAATAGACTGCTTCCATTATGGAACACAGTTTTCTTGCCACAATCTGATTTACACTCCAATGACACCATTCTATGATGCCATAACCGGAAGGGACGTGTGCACGGTGGAACTGCAGGCGAACTCTCCATTCATTTAGGATGTCCCTGAAGGGCTTGCTGTGAAATTACATTGCATCACCATGTTTCTTTGAATCCATTCTTAAAGAATCTAACTTATATTTATCAAATAGAAAGAATACATTCCTAAAGAGGCAAGCCATAAAATTAAAACCCTGTGACTCCCCACTGCAAGGGTTTGTCACACAAAGCAGAAGTTAAAAAAAAACCTACATTATGTGGACTATTGTCCTCATATTTGTTGCCATATTGTATGCTCTGGCCTTCTTTGGGTGGTTGGAATGTCGAACTGAACCCTTTATTTCGCTCACTGGGGTAGACTGTTCTAGTTCCATGTGCCATGTTTAATGGATATCAGTTATCTCCTGTTAATTTCCCTCTGAAAGTTCTCCACCTTAACCGGGTATTGAAATCACACTCTTTGGATCCTGTCACTGGATCTAACCAACGCCTTTATCCACTGAAGGACATCTGTGTATGAATTTCTGGGTATTATAAACCTAATGTCTTCAGCAACCATTTTTACCAGTGCTCATATTGCAATATAGACAGATACTAAAAAAAAAAAAACTACAAGAGACAAATGCATACAAATACACATTACCACTCGTTGCCCACATACAAAATTTTCACAAACCTACATACATATAGAATTATTCAGTTTTAATACACATGACACGTGTCAGACCAAGGAGAGCTGACTGAAGCATAATTGAAAATATCAGCATCTTCACATACATTTCCTATCTGTTGTTTTATCTTATCATCCTGTCGGATTCCAATCCATATTTGATTTTTAACTCTCTCTCTCTCTCTCTCTCTATATATATATATATATATATATATATAGAATTAAAAAAAGAGAGAAACTGCAAACGTTTTTGGTTGTAATGTAGAATTTAAAAAAAAATATATTATGCTTTATTTTCCTTAATTTTGCTACACGTTTCCAGTCTTGTGACCTTCATCAAGCAAAGAGTGGATATTTCCACATATTATTAAAAGGAATTAATTTATTGTATTTTTTGTGTATCAAAAACATATCTAACATAATGTTTAACATTTCTCCCTTCTTTTTAATATATACACTTTTCTCTCATTGGAACAACTATAACCTCTTCCCTTTATATATATATATATATATATATATATATATAATATTATTATTCAGTGTGATATTTTATAATAATATCAATATTGAAACATTGGCTAAATATTTTTTTTTATCCCTGAATTTCAGAGAAAAGGTGTTGTTACTCTAATAAGCTAATCAGTTTCCTAGTCTTTGTTGTCTCTTTTTATAAAGGCTTCCATTTTTTTTATTCCTGGGAGGTTACTAAATGTAACAAGCACCTGTGGAAGGACAAAAAGAATGGAAAAGAAAATAGTGAAAAAAAAACAAAAAATCCCAGCAAAGAGAAGGAATTTAGTTTGAAGGACTCAATATATAAATAATTTTTAATACTGGCACTAATTTTTTTTTTTTTTTTTTCTTTCATTTTCAGAGATCGATTGTTACAACAATGGCTACCCCTAATGGCCAACACCACAGTCACACAGCAAATGTATGAAGAGAACTCCTTCCTTCGAGACAGACGTGCTATGAGTTTTCTAGTGCATATCTTGGACACTCTAAACGACTACAATGTTTGTCTAGAGTCTTCACTGACTCGTGGTTTGGACATCTGAAATTTGTACTGAGTATCTTTATTGGCCAAAACGGCTCAACACATCACCCAATCATCACATGATGAAGCTTAACTGACCTGCAGCTCGGACATCTGATCACTGTGTAAGATCTTAACTGATCCTTGGCTCAAATATCTGATTCCGATTGGAATTTGAACCACAACTTTGACAGTGCAACACTGACATGCAGACATTCTTGTACACAAACAGGGCATTCAAATCATTATAAATGTCAAATGGATAAGCAAAATGGATTGTTTCTCTAAGGGAATGACTTGCTTTGGGAAAATGCCATCAGTTTGTTTAATTCCAGTTGTGGCTGAGAAATGGTAAAGTACAAAAAATTGAGTCTGTGTCAGTTAAGACTTGATCTTTCCTTCTTTTTTGACTTGAAAGCAAAGCTTTTTGTCAAACGAAGGCTTCGGTCTTAAAGAAAGAAAAATGAGTGAAGAGTTGTAAAAAATTGCAAGAAGTTAAAACAACAACAAAAATGGTTTAGTTAAGTCTTTTGCTTTGTTTTTGTTGGTTTCTGTTTTTGTTTTTTTTAATAAGTTTTATTGGAAAAAGTCAAAGTTGGTAAAAAGTGGAATAACTAAAGATGTTTTCAAGGAGATTTTAATTTTTTTCTTCACTAGACATTGAAATGTTAAATGAAGCATTTTTCAACTCTGACTTGATTTACAAAAGCAAGATTGGCTTGTGGTATTCATTTTCTCCCATATGTCAGCACTGACACCCAGTTGGCCAGGTAATTTCAGTTCTCAGTTGTGCATGTGTCTTTGGATGGTATAGAAAAGAATTTGGTATCTTTTTAGGTTTTAAAAACATATATAAGAATCACTAAGACTATTTTCTTATTCAAGGGAAATAATTACTGCATAATTGTTTTATGTGTAGGAAACGAAGATTTTAAAAAATATCGATTCTTTTAAAAATACACAAAAACATTTGCATGTTTTCTGTTAGTATTCAAAAGTATAGAATTTATATATAAAGGTTATTTATCAATTCTATGGGTTTCTTTAATACTCAGAGAAATTAACACTAAAAAACACTTCAAAATCATTTTAAAATATAAATTTAATAAAATAGATGTTTAATGACAGCAATTTATTACTTTCGTGTTTACCATGAATTAATTACTTGATAATTTAGATAATTCTTTAGTGTGTAACTGTAATGTTTATAAAATTTAATGTTTAAATTTCATAAGTTTTCTTTCATCTAATAATATAAATTCTGTAGAAAAATATCTCCACCTATGGTTTTTTCCTCTTATTTTTAAAATATAGAGTACCTATTGACAGATGAAGGTTTGGTTTTATAATGAGTAATAATAAAATTTTAGCACATGTGGGCATCTTGAAAATATGTATTAAATTCAATAATGATTAAATATGGAACAAGCAGGAAAATCTATATATATTAAAATAATGTAAAATTTAACATTTTCAGCTGATGTATCCCAACATTACACATTCACTTCAAACATTCATCATATTTATCATACTACACTAATAAAACCAATTTTTAATACACATTAAAATTATGTTAACATTTCAAGAAGTAGTCATGCATGCAAACACAATGGCATAAACACATAATGTCCAAACAATGAAAACAAAATTAAAAAATTGATACATACATAAACACCAACACCATAAGATATATACATAACATCTAAACAACCAATAAAGACAAAGCAAAGAATTTTAAAAATTATTCATAGCTCCACATATTCCACTTCTCCAAAATTAAATATGTATCAAAAATTAAATTTTCTTACTTGTTCCTTATTTAATTATATATATATATATATATATATATATATATTAGTTTTAAAGTAGGCTATATTTTGGGGTAAAAGTGCACAATATCAGTGATATTGGACACAGAGGTCAACACCAAGCAGTGAGTCTGTTTCATGCTTGAACGCAATCTTCAGGTCTGACTCACTGCTTCATATTGATCTTGGTGTTCACTTGTGTGTGTGTGTGTATATATATATATATATATATATATATATATATATATGAAAATTTCTTCGATTTAACCAGTAGAGAAGACAATATTTATGAATAAATTACTAGTTTTCCTATTGTCACTTTTATTCATATATTATATATATATATATATATATATATATATATATAAGCTGATGATTACATTTAGCATGAAACAGACTGTTGCCTCTAGGCGTTGACTTCAATGTCCACTTTTATATTTGTATACATTCTATCCCTGATATAGAGCACTTTAACTCATAAATATAACATACCTTAAAACTATATTTTTTATATATATATATATATATATATATATATATATGTGTGTGTGTGATTAACTAAAGAATAGGTTATTTCAGTATTTTATTTGTTTTATATGGTAATAATATTTATATATAATTTAGAATTTCTCACATTAAGGAAAGTGTTTCATACTTGATTAGAAAATATCATTCAATGAAAAGAAGTCTATTTTTTGAATAGATGCACATAGCTAAATTAATCTTCTGTCTACTTAAAAGTTTTGAACATGGTGAAATGACTAAACAAATTTCATATCCACAGAAAGAAAAATTTTTTTTTTCTCTTTTAGAAGCATTTAACATTCAATTTTTTTTTCCTATAGATTCCTAGTCAAGCCTTGTATCACACCCACATTGCTGTGGTTTCAGAAAGATTTTATGGGGTAGGAATGATAGCTTCATACCCAACTCTTCATTTTCAAATTCAGAATTGTCACTCTCCTAGACTCTACCAAGTCTACAGAGCCCAGTCTGTTTTATTATTTTACCCATGCTGAGAGGGGAGATTCATTAATGCTTTCCCCAAAGATATTAGTGTAAAGCATGCACAAATTGTCTCAGCTGAAAATCAAACTTGGTTCTCCAATTCCATTTTTTGCTCAGATAACCATTAGGCCACCTCATTAAAACTCGATAAAAGCATAAAAATATTATTTTAGTACTTTCAGCCTGGAAGTCAGCAGGTTAGTATCTAGTTGTTGGAATTTGTGTCAAACTGATTGGGGTATATACTATTTACTCAGTTTATTTTAGTTACAAGAGTGGAGCCAGTAAAGATAAAAAATAAAATCTGCTCCACAAATAACTTTGCAACAAACTAGCTTATCACCATGTAATGCTCAATTTCAAATTTTATTTATTTTCACATAATCAAATTTTGTTATCATTTTATAAGAAGCATTTTAAGTGCCAAATTTTGTTCAGGCAACTGAACGACTTCTTTGTGTCTTTGATGCTCTTAGTACATTTGAGTTGTCAACTGTAAAGTGGTAAAATCCTATTTCTGTACTTGATAATAGCATTTAAAAATCATTATCCATTACTACATCAGTCCCATAAGGGTTCTTCTATTCAGTATATGAAATATATATGCAAATGTAATATCTATTATGGGATAGAGGTAGTAATAGTTTGTTTTCTTTTGGGGGAGGTATTTTATAGGTTTCTCTTTGAAGACATGTCAATAAATATTGGATGTAATATAAAATGTCATATGGATATCTTTAACCCATTAATTAAAAATTACGGGTTTCTGTCATTGCAGTTCTGTGGTTCAAGGTCAAAAGCTTCTGTTACAGTTACTTGGGTTTAAACTGCATTATTTTGACCTTGCAGAAACTAGTATGATTCTAGATGTACACTCTAAGGTCAATTTGCTAGTGAAGTGAGTTTGATGCTCAATTGGTACATTACTATTGTAGCCTTGTGCCAGCCTTTAACATTACACACCACTTGAAATTGAAGGTTCAGAAGGGAACCCCCAACTGGAAAGTGTGATAAAAGCTACTGGACTTGAAAAACCTGTTTTCCTAAAAAAAAGTGTTTTAAGATAATGATTTTATATATTTCAACTGAAAACAGTACTGGCTGCTCATTCAGTAAATGCCAAATGTTTCCTTATAAGGAAATGGTTAATACTACCATTACTGAGCTCAGCAAATAACTAATATATCTAGTTATCAAACTTTTCAACTAAAATCCTAATTTAAATTTTCGTCGCACAGTAAAATGCCCATGAAAATTAAATTCTGTAACTTATTTATTCAGTTTGTACTGTAAATGTTTTTTAAAAGTTTTCTTCAGGATTTTGACCAATGTTTCAAACTAATTATCCAAAAAGTAAAGCAAAAAACAATTGTAGACATAAAAAAGAATTAATAATAAATTTCTTAAAAGAAACTTCATACTCCAATTTTAGACATTTATATAATACAGGCACTTGTTAATGAACATTTCGGCAAATGATACATGTCAGTCCATTGCCAAGTTGAAACAAATCTTGAATTGTTCTCATTTTCTATCTTTTGGAAATCCTCCAAGTATTCTCTTCTTTAGATTTGTTCAAATCTAACCAATTTGTGACCATTTGTAGTTAGCATAATCTCTTTGGTGCTGGACTGTACCTGTTTTAAAAATGTTATATTTTTGGCATTTGTTCTTACAATTATTAATTGTAAGAACAATTAATTATGGTGTTAATATTCCTTTATTTCTTTTAGAAGTTTCTCTCTTTCAATTAAGAAGTGAGTTAGTAAGAATTGAGAGATATTTGAGAAAAGGAATAATGTTTGTAATTGGTTGAAAGGGAAATTATTAGCAAGTTAAATAAACCATTAAATAAAAAAAAAAAAAAAAAAAACAAGATTAGTCTCTACAGTTTGTATAAATCTGGCTGCTTGAGTTTTTTTTTTGGGGGGGGGGGTCAGGTTTCTTAAACAGTTAAACGGTTCAGAAGAATTGCAAGCCTCTTGTTATGACAGACTAGCTTAATTGCCATAAATAAACTGATTTTCTATCTTTGTTACATTTATTAAGAACTTAGACAGCAATTACCATTTTTATAATTTTCCAGCAAGGGAGTTAACTCTGTCGTAATTTAACAATTCTCTAAAATTAGATGACGTTAATAAAAAAAAAATTCATCTTTATGAACTGATAAATGAATAATTCTTATTAAAAATATTTTTGTACA